CCCGGTGTCAGGGCCTGGAAGCAAAAGCAGCACAGTTCGGCCGCACTCAAACCTCGCTTCGTCGCCAGGTGTCTAAGCCGAAGCCCTTTAAAAGGGCCTTGTATGAATTTGACCCACGGTAACTTGCAGTGCCGTGAAGATCGTGAAGTGAAATGCCACGTCCCTACTTTCAATATACAATATCATACAATATCATATAAGGACAAATTGGAGGATTGCAGTTCCCATTTCCATGTTTTGAGTTTTGAGGGTCAAAACTTCAGGACCTAGGGGACCAGAGGTTTTGACATGTTCGTTTAGCAGCAGTGATCAACAATTCCTTTGAAGGTGCCTGATTTTGACTCCTCACTGCGACCCGTGGATGAAAGCGGAGGCTGACATAGACTACAAGACTTTAAGAGAAGCGACGCTCGACACCCAACTGGATTTTCATATTCTATGTTCATGCTGTAAAGACTTACACTTTCTGAAACTGGCTCAGAAATTGACAATCTCAGTTTTTTCCAGGAACTGAAAATGGATGGCAAAGCAGTTTTCTCTCATTTTGAAGCTAAGAACCTCATCACCACTGCATTGCCTAACCAGGTCACCCGGCCACAGGGCATCGGCAAAGGTTTGGTGGACAGTCCTGTGGAAATCTCGCAACGTGTCATCTTGGAACCTGATGGAAGCTGTGGATGTGTGGTTTCGAAGAGACTTTGAATATGATATACCCTGATATAATTCATAGATATTCATATAGATGATATGGTATATATTTCAAGAAACTTTCAATATAATTTATTCAAGAATTTGGATTTTGTTTTATCTATTGGAGCACTTCTGGGTCACCCGAAATGAACAATTTCAGCAATTTGAGTCATGTTGGTTTCCCCAAACATGTTGAATGACCCAACCCGATCCCATCAGTCATCTGGCTAACTTAATAGAAAAAAACAGTGTTCGAAGCTTCAATTGCCCTCTGTCATGCATTTGTACAGCTTCGCCAGGGACTCCCATTATGGATTTCGATCATGATCCCCCCCCGCCCCCGCCCCCTTCCAAAAAGAAATCAACCAACAGGTGACGCAACTCCTGGATGACTCTCTTTGGTTCCAGGACCGCCTCTGGCCGACTCTTACCCAACATATAGAGGTACTTTGAGGGTCAAGGTATACGGGCAATCTACATTTGTATGCATGTCTGGAGGGATATGGCATGTTCAAATGGACAAATGATGCTTTAAAAGATCTTTAAAGCATAAGATGAAAGACGGAAGACAAGGAAACCCGGTAATTATTCTTGGGAAACTGACAGGGATGAGCCCGGAGAAACATACCGGCTCCTATAGGTGCTGATAGGGACCTCAGGCATGCTTCATATTGCGTCATCAGATCAGGTTTATCATTTCAGAAGACTTTGAAACTATTCAAAAACTGGTTGTTGACTGCTTCTGCTGGCGGGCTGATAGGGATTCCCGCAATGGAACTTGATCATCCCCATAAATAATCATAAACAAGATGACCGCAGAGCTCAGAACCCTTGGGTGTGCAAGTCACAATTGGATCCCCCAAAATGTCAGCTCAAAAATTGATCCGTGCGAAAATTCGTTGGTCAAACTATCTTAGACTCCTCAGGCTGGCTGATTCAGTATTATGTTTTTTTTAATGAAATCCACTTTTTGTTGACTAAATCCACATTTTTGTTTGCCAAAAAACATTGTGACAGTTTTTAGGTTGCATGTTTTGTTTGCTGGCTCAATCAGCATGTTTGTTGACTACATAATTTGTTTGTGAGCTAAATATAGCTAAATCCCATTTTTGTTGCCCAAACCCCAATCGTTGTTGGCTAAACACATATCTTTGGTTGGCTAAAACCCGAGTTGTTTCACGATTTTCTTGTTTGGCCAAATCCGCATTTTTTGGGTTTAATCCCAATGTTTGTTGCTTACTACATCCGCATACATCCGCATTTTGCTGGTTAAACGCAGATCTTTTGCTGTATACATCCACATTTTTGCTGGCTAACCCCCATGTCTGTTGGCTAAAATCTAACTTCTTCTCGTCTTGAAAAAGCCCTGTTTTTGTGTCGGCCTTCGCTCCACTCGTCGCGGTGTTCCGCCTGGGGGGGGGTGCTAAAACCCATGGGAAAACCATGGGCTTAATTATACCGAATGTTACAGCAAAACCATACATGAATCATATATGAATGGAAGAATATGTGGAACAGTAAAGATGGAATTCAACTAAGTTTTACTTCGAGCGATCCCTACCCCCGAAAAATTCAGGGAGCCTCACCTGGTAGCTGGGAATCAAGCATGTGGGGATGTAAGGAATCTAACCACTCGAAAATGGGGGTATCTCATGGTATCTCACCCAATGATCTAGTGGGGACGATACGGTAAGCCACATAATTCACCCTCACTTGGGAATGGCGAAGTCTCTACGAACCATTTCCTTTTTCAACAGTGTATGGTTCTTTTGTTGGGCTTACCACGCTAGCAAAATGGTTTGTCTCCAACACATGGTACCAACGGACCACCCAGTGGGTCAGTCTCAAATTGCGAGGCTATATGTTTTGAGCAATGGCAATATCTAAACAACTGCAGGTGTTTTCCTCAAACACAGCAGTCCCAGAGACCCACAAAATCCTGCAACTGGGATCTAAAAAAGTCGACCAATAGGAACTGGGGATTGAACTTAAAGCATTAAGAACAGTTTAGAACAATGGGAGAAAATTACGTATCGTAACCCTGAATAAGATGTTACTTTGCTATCTTTTTGGTGCTGTACATTTTCATGGGATTGAACCGATTGAACCCCTTGAGAATAACATGAAAACAGTGCTACCTTGGCCCCGCACCAACATCACGTTCGTGGACTGCGCTGACATTGCAGCAAAGTGGAAGATACGACACTAATTGGCAACTCCCGATAAGTGATGATGATTCATTCGCGGAACTGAATTTGTGCCGGATTCTAACTCCTCCTGTGAAGTTCAAAAGATTCTGTCTTCTACGACACATCTTGGAAGTCGGCAGCCGACTCCGCGCCTGATATGTGCCTGGCAAAATTAGACTTTGTAAATCTAATGTGATCCTCAGTACTGATATGCATACTAATATAATAATATAATTCCATTTACTCTCTGGTTATTTAACATAGCATAGCCATGGTATAGATGGCCGATAGAAATAGATGGTTTACATATTAAAAATGGTGGATCTTTCCATGGCTATGTTAAATAACCAGATGGTATAACTCCACACAAAGGATGTGGGAGTGCATCTTTCCTGGCAAGCTGCGCCCAGGGCCGTCACACCCAGCATGATGGTTCTTCTCGATTGCTGGATGCTGAATGGCAGCGAAGACAACCAGAGCCTGCTGATTCCAACCAGTAAAAAAATGCAGAACAACTTGTCGCAAGTGGGATCATCATATGTAGATATTAAAATAGTATATTACAGTATTATGTATATATATATATATTATATATACACAATTCCCATATCATCCCAATCAATACATATATAATATCAATATAATATAAGAACATCATTTTTGGATATTTTTGGGGTGTTGCACGGCCTCTTCCGAGTGGAAACGGTCACTGCTTAGTGGCTTCAAACAGCGTGGAGAAACGACATATTTTTTTTCGATATATGTATTTGGGACACAAACTAATTTACACGATATACATTATTATTGTTTGTTGTTATTATCATTATTATTATCATTATTATTATATGTTGTTGTTGTTGTTGTTGTTGTTGTTGTCGTGGTTGTGTATATGAATCTATTTGGGTATGGGTCCAGGGCTCCAGCTTTGTAGAGTCAAACCAGAGCATTAAAATGGGGCCTGAGGGGTAGAGTGGCTGTTCCAAAGGGACTGTCCCAGAATTGAAGAATATACTTTCCTGTAATTTTATGTTCACCTCTATATATAGCTTATTCAAGTTTTAAGAAAAGTTAGAATAAGCTATGGTCTGGCTGACATAACTGTAATTATAGTGATTGTTCTTGAATATTCAGATCCTAAGTCTCATCCAAAACAGTGTCTTGATGAAAACACAATGGCATCCGTTTGGCACCATTCCGGCTTTCAAAAAGAATATGTCCAAAACTTAATTTTTCGTGCCTGCTGCTGCGCAATCTCCTGTTCTTCATTGTCATCATATTTCATTGACTAAATCCTGACTGCCGAGATCAAAGTCTGAAGCCATAAGGTATTGGTGACTCAAAATGTTCATAGGCTTTTGCTCGGATAGATGGGTAGTATGGGCCAAAAAGTGCACAATTGGAGACCCCATAGTTAAACCCACCTGGCTTCCCCTCAAGTAGAATATGTTGGAGAACTCTTGGCCCCTGCTTTTGACTTTCGACCCATGGCCCATACCCACATAATTTCAATGGTCAGTTCAAAAACTGCTTGGTATAGGCATGGATAAAAATGGGTACCTGAATCTTATACGATATTTTGCTTCTGAAATGACACACCTATTCAGTTTTCTAAGTCATAAAAATCAACCCATACCTGAATTGAGTTGGTTTGATCCCACCAAAGGCTGCGTGCCTTTTGATCTCCCTCCAATCCCCACTGAAGCTGACAAGAGCTTGTGCCCGCTCAGCGGGAAGCATCCGTCGCTGTGAAAATTCCTGAAAATTTGCCAACGGAGTGGCCCAAAAATGTCTGAATCTACTTTGTTATCCATTGGTTGATGGTTGCAGAACCCAGTGCTGAAAAACTGGTGAATTGGGACAATGTTCCCAACAAATAGATGTCGGCAGTAGAGATTCTTATCTATTTATCTGTCCGTCTATCTGTCTACCTGTTTGTCTATCTATTTACCAATATACTGTATACATATAAAGGCGTCTTATACTTGAATATGTAGAAATACACAACAGTAATTTGATGTAATTTTATGTATATCACACCAATCCGGTCAATATCACTGTACATCTATATCTATATCTGACAATATCCAAATCAATATCTATATATTTATCATTATTTATCATTATTTATCTATATATTATATCTATATACACGTTGCTCTCAGCTCACCAAATTCTTCAGTTGAAGCGGAAGTGCATCACATCTGCTTCCTGCACCTCACGGGACATGCATCTGAACCATCCGGGATATATCGTGAGAATATCACGGGAAGATCGTGGTGATATGATATGGCTCCAGCAGCAAAAGAAGGAGTTTTGTGGGTCAGTTAGCATGTTGCATGCTCAGCCTGCGTCTACTCTCTACCACTTGCTTGCCACAAATTATAGGAAAGATGGCTTTGACAATGAATCTGTCTCAAGATGGGGGATGCCCAAATATAACAATCTGACAGCTCGCAGAAGATGAGAACATGGATAGACCATTGAGAGTTGGGGATTCCAAATTTTGAGACAATTGCATATCACTTCTGTAAATTTACTCAAATTTAGATAATTTAGATGCATATCAACATTTAGTCTAAATTATCCTAAATTCGCTTCTGTAAATTGATTTTTTGGCGTAAATCAAAGTGTACGTGGATGGTCTTGGATAGCATTGGAGAGCACCATTGTGTTTAGCTCAAACTCTGCCCCTCCCACACAAACAGGATGGAATCATAAGATTCAAACCAGAGGATCTTGAAATGTTGCCATAACTTTGAGACTTTGAGATTTTCTGATCCATCATGATCCATCCCATGGTGCGATGTTCAACGATGTTCAAGACCCCGGCGACATAATCTTTTCCTTCAATCCGCAGCTTGCCTTTCTCTTTTGCAGCCTGGTTGTTTTGCCAAGATTTGCGGAGGGAAGGATATATCATGATATATCGAAATGTACGCTCAGGATGATCCTTTCTGATTTGAATATCCACAATTATCCAAATATGTTCAGCCTTCTTCTCCGGATTCTTGTCTGGAATACCATTCTTGCATCAGAATTCGAAGTGACGGCGGATCAGGCGTACTGAGAATCCATTTATATATGTATATATAATTATGTAGATATACAATACATACATATCATATATAATCATATGATATCATATGTACATATCACCCAACAGATTCAAAGCATCTGCACATCCCCGTGGTTTTTTACTGGAAGAGTGGACAGTGACAGTTCAAAAACTGTCATAGCATCGGCTCCTGAGCTCCATCGAGGTATACCATGGTATACCATGGTATACCCAGTTTCATCCTGCTCCTATTCATTTGCATCCATTTCTTTGCTTTCTGCTTGGTTGGTCACAATTCTTTCCTCATTGAGAAGAAGGCTCCGGAGGCAAAGAGCTTTGGCAAGAGCGAGCTGGTATTGGCATCGCAAGGGGCTGAGGCCATTGTCATTTCTGGGACTGAAACAATTGAGGACAACCTTGGCATCGCATCATTCGGTGGACCCATCATTCTTTCGTCGCATCACTGCAGAGATGGAGCGCCTCAGGCAAGCGCCATGGAAGTGCAGGTTTTGCAAGAGATTGAACAAAGCTGTAGCAATGTATTGCGGTCAATGTGGCAGACATTGGACAGAAGCTTTGGATGGCAGTTATCGTCACCCTACATCGGCACGAGCCAAGGAGGAGGACTATTACTCCCAGTGGGAAGAGGAGATACCGTGGGAACAGGAGGATTGGCATTCCGGCAGATGGCCGTCTCGATCCCCTCGTGCTTTCTCTCGGTCACAAACGCCACATGGTGGGAAAAAGCCTCGCAAAACCAAGAAGAGCAAGAAGCAGAAGGATGTGCAGGAATATCAGGCACCTCCGTTACCCGAAGCTCCATGGAATCACAAAGGAGGCAAAGGTTATCTTGGTGGTTCGTCATCGGCAACGACGTCAAATCCACCTACACAGGAAACCAAGTCGGACCAGAAGTTGAAGCAGATCATGGCGGCTCTGAAAAAGCACGAAGCCAACTTGACTCCGGACCTGCAGCAATTGGCCCAGGAGACAACCATGGTCCAATCACAAGACAATACAAGGCAGTTGCACTCGGCTGTTTCGAAGTTGGGTCAAGCCAAAAAGGTATTGCAGAAGCTCCGAGCATCCAGGCAGAACTTGCATGTAGTGTGGAAGAACTACATTGCAGAGAGTGTCAACAAGTGGAAAGACTTCTGCGAACAATTCGAAAAGCAGGACAACGATCTTGCCAGGCAGTTACAAGAGGCTCTTCAGTCAGTGAAGACTGCGGAGGCAGGATTGGAATCCACCAAGAAGGAGGCGAAAGAGATCAAAGAGGACGAGGACATGTCGGAACAAGCCCCGCAGGAGATTTCGGACGACGAGAATCCGGAGCAGTTGGACCTCAACGGTGCCAACATCATGGGGGGTATGAACGACATGCTCAAGAGTCTCGAAGCACTCCAACAATGTGCGGAGGCGGCTATCGAAGCCAAGGCTCCCAAGCGCCCAAGGTTAGACGATCCTGGGGGTGGCGATGGTGGACAGTCTGCAGCAGTATCCTTACAACAGACTGCTGGGCAGCCTTTTCAACAGCCCGGTCAATAGACCATACGGAGATTGATCTAGGGCGAGATGTTGCTGGAGATGCATACGGTTTTGCACTGAAATGGTCTCACAGCGCTACCAAAAGGAGGAGATTCGTACCGGAATGGAAGGCCTCGATTGCAGCTCTGGACTTGGCCCACGAAATGGGGTATTTCGATGTTGGTCATGCAGTTCCCGATCCGGTGAGCTCTCTCAGGTCTTCGAATAGAAACCCAAAAGCATTTTGCGTAGGTTTTGCAGAGGAAGTTGCCGTGGCCATTGGAGAGGAAGACTCCCTTTCCTACCATCAGGTTGCAATGAAGCATGAGCACCTATGTGGATGGATTGACAAGCCATGGCAGCTACGAAACTCGGTAATTGAAAGACAATGTCCTCTTGGAGAACCGCTGTCTGAAAAGGCCGTGTTGATCTCGAGGCATTGCTCCAAATCATCCAAAAGTGGCGGTACCTGGGAAGCAGACCATGACGAAGTTGCATGGGTGCAAACAGGTAAACCGTTTGCAGCGAGAGGTGACGTTGATGTTCCTGGCTGGGCCGTCAACATGGTGCAACATCATTATGAGCCACCGCAGGAAGAGCAGCAATCTGATTCCTCCGTAGGAGAAGGCTCAGAGGAAGGTGGAAGCCCTGATACTGTCCATGGAAGCAGATCAGAAATTGAGAATCAGTTGGACGAGTCGTTGCAAAGCGTCTTGCTTTTTCATCTTGCGGATCCTACTGTTCATGGGTATGTTCATTGGACACACATCGAGGATGTCATTACCGAGGTCTCATCCATCATGGGTGTTAATAGAAACAGGGTATTCAACATCCATGAACTGAAGTGGATACCACCGGACATCCCTGAACATTTTGCGCCTCTCATTGTTCAATTCAATGATGATCTCCCAGTGGGCCAACCTAGTCACCTTTGCCTTGTTGATGTCGAGGTTCATGCAAATACTGCAGAGTTCAACTATGCCACAGTCGACTCCCTGCAATTGATCGAAGGGTGCTAGTTTTGCCATGTCAAGTCCATAGAAGGCAGATCTTGGAACTTACCATGACAGCACCTTACTGTCGTCAAGTGCAACATCGGTGCTTAGTCCTGCACAACAACATTCTTGTGAAGTTGCAGGAAGATGGAGCTATTTCTACTCAGCATGGTGATCATGTTCGAGTCGTTGTTCCACCGGACAATTTTTGCGATGAGGCTACCTCCTTTCGACTCAATGAAGCTCTCGAGCAAGAAGAGCAAGAAGTCCTACATCTCACGGATCAACTCAGGACGCCGGAAGATGGATATTCACCCAGTCTGGTGCCGTCCGAGGAAATCAGGAATGAATTTGGACGCGACATTGATGGAGAAGGACTAAGTCTGATGCAAATCCGGCAGGACCCCGATGACAGCATCGAAACTCCCAAGCACAAAGGTGATGTTGACTTGAGTGTCATCAAGGAAGATCTGGGTTCCTGTGATGGGACCTGCCATGGACCAGTCCCAACGACATGCAGCTGGACTGATGAGTTCTTGCGTGCAATGGGGGCGCTAAATGTAGCACAGGATGAGATGCCTGAATTCCCATTGCCTGATCCTGGTCAGCTCCGAGATCACCCCCAATGGGTACAGGACCTTGTGCCTATTTGGCAGCAGAATGCCCAACCAGGCCCTGCAGGAGTCGAAATGCTTGCAAGAGTGGAAACGTGGTATACAGACCATTTGAGGATGCAGAACTGCTTTCAATCACGCATTGTGATTTTGGCGGCAGATTTCACCACATGGCATCAAGATCTTGTGCGAGCATGGTCTGAGGTTGTCATCCCGCATTTTGAGGTGGATATTCATTTGGTCTATCCCACAACTGCTGATGTGGCAGCTGGCGCGGTGGCACAGCTGGTCCTTGTCCAGAGGCCTGATCAATTTCAAAGATCTATCATTGTTACCGTTGCTGACACTGCCTTGCAAAGAGGTATGCCGAGATCCAGGGCAGTTGTGGCTACAGACCGTGTGAGCTTGCATAGTGTTCTCCTGATGACAGGCTTGCTCTATGAATGCCCACCTGAGCACATTCAACATCGATGCCATTTGTGGTTTGAAGGACAAGAGATTACTGGGGATATGTTTCATCGGGCTCGACATGGTGATGCCTTTCTGCTGCATGTTCTACGCGAGGAAGATCTACATGCTTTCGAGCACCTCACCTACTCGGATGAGCAAATCCAAGTTGGCTTGAATGTCCTGTTGAATGCTCATAGACCTTCAGGAGTAGCTCATGGGCCAGATTGGTTCAATTCGCTTGAAGCGGCGTTTGACAATGGTGCCGCTATTGAAATGCTGGAAGAGGGACCTGTTGCATATGTGCTCACATGGTTCGTGGATGCTGCTCGAGGAAACTTTTGCCAACATCCTCGCGTGGTTCGACTCAATGGTGATAAGAGACAATGGAGTCCAGAAATCTTGGGCCGATGGCAGTTTGATCTGGCACCCAATTGCCCTGCGGATTTGCACTTCGTTGACCCTGAACCACCAAAACACCATGGGAAAGCCACATTGCACATGTGATCATCACACAGAGAACCGAACCTGACCATGCTGCAGTAATTATCAGTGCCGTGAGTTGGGAAGACTACCCCAATGTGCATCAGAGTCTGCACTACATTCACAACATGGTGTCCATGCAGGAGATCATTGCAAGACATGCCCTTGAACGATGTCGCGGAAGAGCTTGCAGAGTCCGAAGAGGCAACCTGTTTTTTGAGCATGTGGAAAGGTCTCAAATTGGCAATGGCGATAGCATCGAAATTGACATCATGCCTCCACCTCGCCAAGAGGAGGATCATATGAATCTATTGCAGCACAGTATCTCACAGATGCGCGCCAAAGCATCTCCAGTGCAGATCTCGTTGGAGGCTTCTATTCCTGCGCGCATTGATGAGGTTCAGGAAGATCATTTCCTACCTGAAGTGCTGGTCACCGAGAAACCAGAGGATGCTGCATTTCTCAACTTGGAGGTTTTGCGTTTTCAGGCTTTACCACCGTCCTTGCATTTGACTGCAACATCACTCCACGTTTTGCAGGAACCATTTCGATATTTGGAGCATGAGTTGGCTGGCAAGCTTGCACTTTATGTCGATGGGGAGCAAAAGGATGCAGCTCTGCTTGGAGTGTGGTGGCGGTGTCCTATGATCAGTTTGGCGTCCCAGCGCTGCTGGGTGTTCTTGCCAGTGTGGTTGAGTGTGATTCTCAGTCGCTGCAGTGGATAGGGGCAACACACCATGACAACATCGCTGCAGAG